TGCACTTGGTGATAGTCCGATTCTTCCCTAACTGTTCAACTTATGTGGAGCATGTGTTTGTAACACTCATGCTTGTTCATCCATTGCACTTGGTGACAGCCCGATTCTTCCCTAATTGATCAGCTTCACACATGCATGGCCTAGCAAGACCCCCATGTTCTAATCAAACGCGGTAAATAAGAGGAAGGAAAAATGACTGTGTTTTTTTTTACTGGGACTGCTGTTGCCGACATTGCTGTTTTTTTGTTGCTGCTGCTGATGCCTGACCAAGCCCCTTGCTGCTGCGGCTACTGCTGGAAAGTCGATGGCCGACCTCCTGAGCACGAGCCGGTCCAAAAAAGGGACTAAGGGGCCAATGCGACCGGGGGGCACTTCTGGCTAGTTCCGCCAAACCAAGGATATGGGGGCTCAGAATTCTCAGACCTTATCGCCTAGAGCCTCGGGCGGTGCCCGAAACAGGCAAGTAGGGGAAAACGACGACGGAGGCAAGTAGGGGCAAACGACGACGAGGGATCTTCCATAGGGTACAAACAAAGAGCCCACCACATTAGAACTGATTCTGACATTGTTTGGGGTAGGAAACGCAGAACTGTGTTTTTCGGCTCTCCCTCCTTAGACAAAAACGACAAAAATCTGCAAAATCTGCAAGTCTACAAATCTGCAAAGACTGTGTTTTCTGAAAACTTTGTTTTTGCAAGTCTGTGTTTTCTGCATAGCTGTTGTAGGATTAGTTGGCGCAAGTCTGAACTTTTTGAAATCCGGAATTGGGACAACTTAGGAAGGCGAAGCCGGACGCTAGGAGTAGGACGAAGTATCACACTCTTCACACCATCTTTCTCCTCCATCTTCTTCACCCATCCACCATAGCCAACCACTTCACATCATCTCCCTCCTCCATCTTCTTCATCCATCCACCACAGCCAAACCACATCCCATCACCTTTCTCCTCCATCTTCTTCGCCCATCCATCATAGCCAACCACCTCACAACATCTCCCTCCTCCATTTTCTTCACCCATCCACCATGGTCAACCACCTCACACGATTTTCCTCCTCCATCTTCTTCACCCATCCATCATAGCCAACCGCCTCACACCACCCCCTCCTCCATCTTCTTCACCCATCCACCATAGCCAACGACCTCACACCATCTTCCTCCATCTTTTTCACCCATCCGCCATAGCCAAACACCTCGCGCCACTTCCTTCTCCATCTTCTTCACCCATCTGCCATAGCCAACCACCTCACACCGACTTCCTCCTCCATCTTCTTCACCCATCCACCATAGCCGAACCACCTCCCATCATCTTCCTCCGCCATCTTCTTTACCCATCCATCATAGCCAACCGCCTCACACCACCCCCTCCTCCGTCTTCTTCACCCATCCACCATAGCCAACGACCTCACACCATCTTCCTCCATCTTTTTCACCCATCCGCCATAGCCAACCACCTTACACCATCTTCCTCCTCCATCTTCTTCACCCATCCGCCATAGCCAACCACTTCACACCATCTCCCTTCTCCATTTTCTTCACCCATCCACCATAGTCGAACCACCTCCCATCATCTTCCTCCGCCATCTCCTTCACCCATCCACCATAGCCAACCACCTCACACCATCTTCCTCCTCCATTCTCTTCATCCATCCGCCATAACCAATCATCTCACACCATATTCCCCCTCCATCTTCTTTACCCAACAGTCATAGCCAGTTACCTCCCATCATCTTCCTCCTCCATCTTCTTCACCCATTCATCATAACCAACCACCTCACACCATCTTCCTCCTCCATCTTCTTCACCCATCCACCATAGCCAACCACCTCACACCATCTTCCTCCTCCATCTCCTTCACCCATCCACCATAGTCGACCACCTCCCATCATCTTCCTCCTCC